CTTATAACAATAATAATCTCAGGATAATTCACACAGCGCCATCTAGACCGAAGTAAAGCTAGCTAAAGCTTGTATTATGGGTACTATATAACTAATACAAATAACTAGATACTTTCAATATTTTCATATTCTACATAGATAACATCCAACCCGATACAACCAATCATACTCATGAATACAAATGTTTGTGCCGTACGACAAATCGGACCCGCGACCATCGGAAGTAAAGCAGTGTGGTTAAGCACAAGACCACCGAGACCGTCACTGACTGACTGACTGCATGACTAATTCTTAGTACTCCGGAATGGCAATCCAGTGCCACGGTTGTCACATGATGATGTGATAGCCATGGTGCTGTTCTTGTATATAAGCGACTGTTACCAGTTACCATGTTATTATCAGTATTATTATATTATCATGTTAGTACCAGTTATATGGGTCGTCTGCTTATTTGCTATTCTAGTTACATAATAAAAACTAATTTCTGCACTCCCTACGGAGTATAATGAACTCGGAGGCTTGGTCTGAAGATGGAGGCACGTAGCGATGTAGGACGATCTTGGCGCGCGTGTTTCGTGTAGATAACACGCCCTATATGCGTGACCTTCATACCGACGACGAGGGCGTAAGGGTTGGTGCCTACCCAAATTAGACGTATTATATTATCCTAATATTGTTATAGCTACGATTTTTTATATGGATGAATATGAAATGATGCACTGGCCTGCGCTAATGGTGTGTACATGTATACGGTAGGGGACCAGTGGAGGATGATAAGGTGAACATGAAGTCAGGTCAGTTAGTTCTAAATGGCGATTTTACCAGAAATTAATAAAAAAAATAGATCACCAGACTCGATTGGTATGATACATTGCTAGCAAATGGGGCTACTAATCACCATTAATCATAATCTCCTCCCCTTGTTCCTTCCATTATTTTTAAGATGTATGATTAAGGAAGTGTGCGTCCGTCTGCGCTAACGGTTTACTCTGGCAGGTCACCAGTAGAAGTTGTTAGGATGAACATGAAGTCAGGTCTGTTAGCCCATCGTGGAAAATTCACCATGAAGGTTTCTAGAAGGATCCGCAACAATGATCCGTCAACCTGAAATGATACATTCCATATTACTGACAATCCCCTTTCTCCCCTATTCATTCAATATTGACAAGGTACATTATTGCAGAGTGACTTATATGTACATATATTATGTTATATACTAAAATCACAAAGTCATTAACATCTGGGCGAACACGGGGTTGGGCTACAAGTGTTTAATAAAGTTCGAACAGGGACAACCCTTCTGTACTAAAACTTTACACAATAGGCAGAATGGGGAGTGTGTATTTTTAGACTTTTATAGCGCGAACGGTCGACTGTACGAATACTAAATACGAATGATATATGAGTACGTCATCCGACTGTCTAGCGTTAATAATTAATGAAATCAATCGTCATCGTTAATGAAGGTAGTTGATTAAATATTTACGCAACTGGTGACTATTTTTGCTGTTGTCTAATTGGATTCTATTAATACGGCTAAATTGGACGTCTATTGTAATTCAATCTTTATAATAACAGCAGAAGAAACAAAATAGAGCCTGCTAGTTACCTGATATTCTTAAATCGCCTAAATAATTCGCTAATTAAATGTATTGTATATAAATGCCAAACTCAGCAACTAATGGGTCGTTTTAGCTAATTATTAACATATTTTTCAAAGTGCAAGTGTTTTTGTTTTGAAGTCACAATTGTCTGCGTCATATTTGAAATATGAAACAGATAATTGTAACGTAAAGAAATTTGACTTTGACTTTGACTCGTATAAATAACAGAAAAGAAAAATGGAAAATTTTACTTACTTAATATTTCTTTTCTTAAATATTCGGAAAAAGAAGATGTAGTTTTTGCCATAATATTTCTACTCATAAGAATCTTTTCTTATGAAAACGTTATGTTATTAGAAACTGAGAAACAAATATATGGCCCATCTGATGTTAAACAGTCACCGTAGCATATGGATGACTGTTATACCACGGGTGTCACGTTATAATATTCTTTTTAGAAAATCCTATGTAAACTTCACAATATACATACTTCTATATGTCTTTTTAAAAATTTCTAGGAAATTAAAGTATAGTTAAGGGTATATAATAATTTAAACGAATCAAGGTCGATTGAAGGTTTTCTTGCACTTGTAAGGGTGTCTTGACCTTAAAGATAGGATCTCGTGTTGACTATTTTAGGCGTGATGACGTTGTTCACTCTTGCTACCGAGTTGGTGTTATATGTCAGGGTTGCCAACCTCGAATTTAAAGTGCCTTATTCTCTTTTTTTCTTGTATAATCAATCATGTGACGCTCGAGGAGTTCGTTTCATCCTGCCGTACCCTGTAATTTCAATGGCTTATCTCTTAAAAGACGCCTTCACTATCATCATCATCAAGCGACCGCTGGAAATAGGTCTGAACCAACAATAATTTAAAGTAATTTGGCAGGTATTTGAAATACGATACAAAAACATTTCAGAGAGATGCTATTAATTCTTAAAGGCCGGCAACACAATGAAATCTTCATGTAGTCACTTACCATGGGGTGAGCCGCAAACTTGTTTGTTAAAAAAAATTGACGTAAAATTCGTCAAGATGTTCACAATGTATAGGACATTGATATCATCATCAAGCGACCGCTGGAAATAGGTCTTTGTTATCACAGCAACAATAATATTATATATTTGTTTGCAATTCCAGTTAACAATGGTATTTAAAGAACAAACTGATTCTAATTTATAGAAATAGAAATATAGAAATAATCTTTATTCAAATAAAGCAAAAGTCTATTATTTCTTCGGAAAATTCATCACAAGAAGAATGGCAACACAATGTTTTTTTATATAAATCTTCATGTAGTCACTTATCAACATGGGGTGATAATATTGTCAGTGCTATGTATTTAAAATTTTTCTACAAAAACATTATTTGTCCTCTATGCTTTTTTAAAAAGTGTTTTAACATTTAAATCTTTTCTGTAAAGATTTTCGTCAAGATGTCCTGCACGGTTAAATTGGGTACCAATGTAAGTGTAATAGGACATTGATATCCTTCCATACATGATGTTTTCATAAATATATTGAGAAGCAATGGTGAGAATATTTGATTCCTTAAAAAAAGCTGGAACCCATGCTATAAATGGAGCGAATGGCCCTCTTTTGTAAAATAAATATTGTATTTATATCGTAACAAAATACCATACGACATAATGCTATGGAAATACTAAAGTACACAAGTTTAGTCTTCTAACGTCTGTTAATTGTTTTAAAGCGGCTCTACAACCGCTAATTTAGTAATATCACAGCAACTAATGTGATCTCGGTATAATCCACAAAATTAATATTTATATATTTGTAAATTTGATACATTTAGTTGCATTTAGTAACATATTATTAGCCGTGAACCATTTTAAAACATAAGAAAGAACCGTTTACTTCGTCCAAATCATCAATATGTCGATTGACTTTGAATACTAATGAAGGCAAACAGAACTATGTCAGCTATCTTTTCTACCATATAAGGAAGATCATTTATGTAAACTAAAAATAAGAAAGGACCTAAAATGGGAACACCCATTTTAATACTAGTTCCTTCAGACTTTACACCATTTATTTCGACAACTTGCATTCTATTATTTAGATAGGATTTCATCATCATATCTAATACCGAAATTACCATTATCTACCATTATCTACTCCTCCAATTGCCACTTTTTTTTAATTTAAGATGTAACTTGTTTTTCTTTTGATGCGATAAATTTTAGGAGCTTCGTAGCTTTATTGCCTTGGGTACAAACGAGCTTGCGCCTCACCTGATCCTAAGTGATTAGTACCGCCTATTAGCAACTGCAATACTAAGAGAATTGCAAGTGCGTTGCCGGCCTTTGAATAAGGAATAAGCTCTTTTCTTGATGTTTTCAATATAGTATTAGTTCGGAAATAGCATTGCTGGAAGCTAGCTTACTATTATTATTGGTAGATTTGACATATCATGAGAGTATTTAACGAGATGACTGCGATGAACTGGGATGAATGGAAAAGAAAAACATATTACGCCGACCCCAAATAAATGGGATAAGAAAGAAACAGACGATAATGATGATGTTAAGAACCTTTAATAGATTAGAGACTTCCATGAATATTTTTTTTTTCTTTTATACACAGGTGATTTAATTTAATTGACATATTTAATGTAATACTGATGATTATAATACTGATTTCAAATCAAATTATTAATTCTACACCATCTACGTTAGATTTCCAAATACAGAAAAAGTCAAAAAATGCATTTCACCACGACGTTCAGTATTGTGCTATGACTACACCGTCTCAATTGTTGAAAATATACTAGTATTTTGTTTTATGATTCAGCGAGATTTAACGGTGTATACTAAGAAGGAATTGTTTATAATAGACCAGTGTCCCCATGCAATGTATCACGTCAAGATCACGCTGTCTTCCATAGAAATTATCGTGACGAGTTCATAAATTAATCAACCTGATTTCATGGTCAACCTACAATCATCCACTGCTGTCACGCCAGTGTATACCGTTAGTGCAGGCGGCGTCATTCATATTTTATTCGGACTACTCTAGTACTGTTGGCCGCAGCTGGCCTTTACATCTTCACCGATGGATAGGGGGCGAGTGAAGATGGTAATCCAAACCTGCGTAAAGACTTATGGAGCGACTGAAGGCCAACTCATGCCTAACGGACACGACTTTGGTCGGGAGCACCGCGATGGTTTCGAACCTCGGCTCAGGCCGTCGTAATTTTGATCCCCGTTTGAATTGGACAGGGGATTCCTCCAGGGGATAGGGACGACTGAGCGCCCGGGCGCGCGCAGATGTCCGGTTGAGGATTGCGCGGTATAGTGTAATTGAAGTCATCATTCATAGAAACATGTTATGTATATAATATTAATGTGTTCATGATGGTGCCTATTTGTTTACAGAGTGCGTCGGAGTCGTCGGCTGGCGCGGGCGGCGGTGCGGCCGGTGGCAGCACGCGGGTCTCCTCGCGCTCACGGACCTCTGAAGAGCCGCATATTGGTAACTAATCTTTTTTACATTTTTTTTGATGTCATAACGTTGTTCAGGTATACACGTAGAGAACGATAATCACTTAACTAACATATTGTTTACCTTTTAAATGTAATTGTAATGATAAACAAGTTTACGGCCCACCTGTTGGTAAGTGGTAGTCGTCGTCTGTATACATACAATAGCTGACCCGCGCAACTTTGTCTGCATCACACTTGATATTTATCATATTTCACACAATTTACATAATATATTTTTAAATTATAGCCCACTTGTTATTCTGATGTATAAGCTATATGACTGTAAAATTTAATCAAAATCTGTTCAGTAGTTTTTGTGTGAAAAAGTAACAAATATCCGTCTATCCATCCATATTCACAAACAGTTACAATGTTATGTTATGTATGAAGAACAGCACCCCCACAATGTTTCAGCATGAGCGGTATCACGTGCGTAACTTGATAGTTTAATATCGAGGCGCTGTTCATGTACAAGGAGCATAAGGAATGGTTCCCACTTACTGTCAGGTAGTCTATCAGACTATTTGCCATTTCAATTAAGTGTATAAAAAATGCAAATGTAATTTCGGCTAATCGTAACACATTTTTGAGAGAACTCGCTTTAGGAATGGTTTTTTTTTACAACAGTCATTGCATACAAGTTTATAAATGAGTAGCATAAAATCCTTTCACTAAACAAAGCTCTGTCACTATTACACTGTGTTGAACTTATGTAATTATTTGTCTAATAATCATCTTTCTTTTAAAACATTATATTTACACTGCAGGATTTCTCCCGATATCCGTTCAACATACATTTTTTAGTTTGGTCATTATTTTGCTTGGAAGTAAAAACTGTTAACACTTCTTCCAAGTCTTTCCGTATGATAAAGTAGTAGGAATGCATGGGTTACACTTCCTTTACATCTTATATATTATGATCTTAGGTATATTGCTAAGGCGACTTTGGGAAAATACAACATAAATATTCATAATTAAATTGCTAACACTATTTGTTTATTTTATGCGGGTGAAAGTGTGGGCATATATATTATTGTATCTGTTGAGTTTCTTTCTAATTGTTTTCAATTGAATCTTTAGACTGAATTAGACGACAGTAAAAAAAATTAACACAAGTACATGAATAGAAAGAATAGAATAGAATAAAAATCATTTATTCAAATAAACTTAACACAAGTCATAACAATTTGACTCGTTGAAAGCTGTCTCATCACAAGAAGAACGAGCAAGAAACTTGTGTGGCTTTTATACTTGTAAGTTTACATTTACAAGTCATTACAAACTACCAACAAGCACTAATTTTTTGGGTCAAATATAATCATGCAATAAGATTAAATCAGTCGTAGTGATAAGAGCAGACAGACTGACTTAAGTGGCTTTATACTCCAACATTAATGAATTAATTTTGAATTAACATTTGTATACAACTGGGGTTCAAGCCTCTTCGTTGGTACAGACTAATTGCAAATAAATTTCTAATAGGATTTTCTGTTACCAAACTTTAAATATAAGAAAAACATGTTACTCCCGTATAAGATATGGTATACGATTTTGTTATCTCGCTGGCTATGAATTCATAGTCACATAAGTATTTTTTTCTCTTTTTCCAGGCAAGTACAAGTTACTAAAGACAATCGGCAAAGGTAACTTTGCGAAGGTGAAGCTAGCGAAACATGTTCCCACCGGCAAAGAGGTCGCCATCAAAATCATCGACAAGACCCAGCTGAACCCTGGATCGTTGCAGAAACTGTTTAGAGAGGTAAGGATTAGGTTATGGTAGTTTATACTGTTATTTTTTTTTCAAATACTGTATATGACTTTTTTTTTTATCGACAAATCATGTTTCAATGTGATTTGATATTCAAATCTACCATCAGTTAATGTACATAGTTTGAGCTGAAAAGAAGTAACAAGAAATTCAACATGACGGATATATAAAAAAAGAAATAAATATATTGGTAGCGATATATATTATTACGGGAAGCAAAACCTTTATAACTCTTTTTATGAAAATTGTGCTGGACATAGGAGTATAAAATTTACCTTACTTAAATTAATTTAGTTTACCTTAATTAAATTAGAATTTACTTTTTTTTGTTTCTAATACTTTTTAGAAGTTTCTTAGAACTAATCACTGTGTTAACTTGACGCGTTTTGTCAGTTCAAACAGTTGATGACGTTATGCCTGTGGTACTGTTTTTTACAACTGTACATGAACAGTTCCTCAGACATCGTCGGTTTTAACATCCAGATACGGTACCATTCCAGATACATAAAAATTATGTATTTTAAAAAATGCTCATTTAATTTTCAGGTCCGAATAATGAAAATGCTCGACCACCCGAACATCGTGAAGCTGTTCCAGGTGATCGAGACGGAGAAGACCCTCTACTTGGTGATGGAGTACGCGTCCGGAGGCGAGGTCAGCATTTATATAATCGCCACCATATAACTTTTTTATTTACATAAGCTTCCTATATATTGTTATTCTTTTTTTTACCCTTAACTTTCTTTTTTTTGCCCCGAAGGTGGCAAACAAGTATCCAGTTTACTTTATGTATAAAGGATAGCCTACCCCGTTGTCGTAATATAATCTTTACGTCGAATCTCATTAAAATCTGCTCAGCTGTTTAATCGTGAAATGGTATGGTATACTAACATACAGACAGACATATTTTCGTATTTGTAATATTATATGCGAATTGGCCAAAGTTTAAGAAGCCATAAGAATTTTAGAATGACTATGTGGGACATAGCACTAAAAATTTGAGAAACACTGTGTTAGCTGCTCGGCTGATTTAAATGACATTACTTAGAAATATCATGCTACACTTAATATACAAGGAGGCCATTTCACAATACGTCTATTTATAAGAAATAATAGTGTATATTTATGTTTTCTAGGTGTTCGACTACCTGGTGCTCCACGGGCGTATGAAGGAGAAAGAGGCGCGGGCGAAGTTCAGACAAATAGTGTCCGCTGTACAGTATTGTCACCAGAAGCGCATTATACACAGGGATCTCAAGGTAATATACCGCTTGTGGTTATTGTGAAGCGACCACTTCACTTGCAAATATTTATACCTAGTCATAACTTTGTCTAAAAGTGACTTCTTTGTACTCTATTTGACCATTTGTTCCGGTGTAAAGCGGTTCAATACACGCCTTCGATCGATCCCTCGTCCAATTAAAACGGGGATCAAAATTACGACGGCCTGAGCCGCGGTTCGAACCCCTAACGATCCCCTCAGACTAAAGTCGTATCCGTCAGGCGGGAGTTGGCCTTTAGTCGCTCCATAAGTCCTTTCGCGGGCTTTGAGTGCCATCTGAATAGGGTGCTATCCAATACGAAAGGAATTTTTAATATCGGTTCAGCCCTTTCAGAGATTAATAAGGACAAACAGACAGACATAAAAAAAACTTAAATTATTTTTTGAAAGTACAGTATATACTTACAGTGAGAAGCTGCTAATTTGAAATTACACACGGACACTTTAATTGTATTTATTCTATTTCTATTCTAAGTTAAAATGAAAACTAAATTTGTAACCCAAGACACTGTATTTTATTTATACAGTGTATATCGTGAGGGTTATTCCCCAGATAATATTGTAAATTAATAATTGTTTACAGGCGGAAAACTTGCTTCTGGACGGCGAAATGAACATAAAAATAGCAGATTTTGGATTTTCAAATGAGTTCACACCGGGCGCTAAGCTGGACACATTCTGCGGCAGTCCACCGTACGCCGCGCCGGAACTGTTTCAAGGTACCATATTGATTTTTGTTACTTGACCTCAAAACGGTTCCTCACCTTTTGCTGCATCTGAATCGCGGTCTTTTTGTCTACATTTACATGCAGATTATTTCCTGTATAAAAGCCGATTGGCGATTGACAGAGCGCACGTGTAAGGCAGCTAATTTTTTTTTATATATAATTAAATGCGTATGTTTGCCGCAGGCAAGAAGTACGACGGGCCCGAGGTGGACGTGTGGTCGCTGGGCGTGATCCTGTACACGCTGGTGTCGGGCTCGCTGCCCTTCGACGGCTCCACGCTACGGGAGCTCCGCGAGAGGGTACTGCGCGGAAAGTACAGGTATATACTAGGGAATTTCATTTCACGACATTTCGCTAAGTCTACGAGTATTTAACACAACATGTCAAGGAAAAGGAACAAACCAGTTGGCTTGTTCATGGCAGTTGCCATCCACAGCATTAATTCATTACCAGTGTTTCAGTGGCCAGAGTTTCATATCACGTATTTGTTTAGTGATGAACCTGATTTTATAAAATAACGTATAGTTTTTTTTTATATAAAGTCTAATATAATTGTTCCACCCGTTTTAGAGATTAGCAGACATATAGATAGACAAACAAATTTTTTTTTAGATATCATTAAATTCCTTATGTGTTTAGTTCGGAATGTCTAATCATGAATGGTATCTTGGTCGTCACATAATAACTTGGTGTCCATAGTGCTGTTCGTGTATATACACAATGGTAGGAAGTATAGCGCCTATAAGGTCTTGCTCATATGGTACTGCATTACCATTCCGTAGGACTAAGGTGTCAGTTCTCCATTCATACAAGAATACATTTTACATCTGTCCCCCTCTTCTATGTATCTGTATCGTTCTTGTGTTCACTCTTTCTGAACCATTCACACGTCAATATCATACTGTAATGTATCCAATATTTGTAGTACAAAAAATTACTTTCCTTGTTTTTCACTATGGATCTATATTTGAGACGGATAAAACCTCGTCATATCCTGGAGCTAGAAGACCTTCAGTAGCATATGAATAGAAGCTTCCAATACATATTGTACATGACAACGTCACAGAAAGAATTTACTCATAATCTTAGAACTAATTGCAATTATGATAAAAAAATGTTTCCCTTGCATTTACAGAATACCATTCTACATGTCAACCGACTGCGAGAATCTGCTCAAGAAGTTCCTTGTACTGAACCCAGCGAAGCGGGCGTCCCTCGAGAACATCATGAGGGATAAGTGGATGAACACAGGCTACGAGGAGGAAGAGCTCAGGCCTTACGTGGAGCCGCAGCAGGACTTCAAGGATCACAAGCGGATAGGTGAATATTGCACACGTTCAATTATTATCATCACCATTCTCTTTTCTCTAATGGAATCATATCCCTCGCGTCTTTTGCTTAAACCCAAAAACAATGTAGGGAAGAAGTGCCTTTCCATGACTACAATGAAAAGAGGATGTTCATAGGGACATGAAGGAGTTGGGCCTGTCAAATGTCCTCATTTGACAAGCTTACCAACGAAATGCATGGTGCCTCAAGATTAGGAACGCTGACCGTAACGGGAAGATGCTAGGATGGAAGGAATTTTGTCCTCCGCCTGGCTGGGTACCTGTAGAGAATGATAAGATGAGTGTGAAGTCAGGCCAGTCAACCCATCGTATGAAAACACTCTTCGAACATCATGCTATTGCACTATTTTATTATAATCCAATAAAAAAAATGCTATTATTTACTAACCTGAGAAGGTGTATCCACTGGCTCAGGTCCAGGTATCTATCAAACAATCCCCTCCCCTATATTATAATACTATATTGTTTACTCATGATTAGTATCTTCTGTCACATCTGTTTATGGTGTCAATCAAATAATAAACATGTTTAACAATTTGGACAGAGTTTACTGACATGAACAAATACTTTTTATTAATTCTTAGATATATAGTACTAGTCCTGAACTGACTAGGAATTTCCGTTGTTTTTATTTTCTATGAACCACTTCATGTCGTCATTTTAATGTACTCACTATTATACTTTTTGTTTTTCTAAAAACTTTTTTTCTTATATCTGTTTCTTAATATGTTATTTAAATTATAAATGTCGCTAATTAACTTGTAAATAACAATAATAATTCTCATTCAACTTTCATTATCATTAAACAAATAAAATTAATATAAATAAAATTTAATAAATACAATGATGTTTTTAAGCGTAACGGAAATTAACACATCTGTCACTTGTTTCATAAGAACTTCCAAAAACCTATATTTGCTTTTAAAGTTATTTTATTTCAAAGTATGTTAATAAGTATGTCTCAAAATATAGCTCAAATGGGTACGAGATTTTGGTTATAAATAAGAAGTTAGTTTTATCAATATAACTGAATAATGAAATATATTTTCGATCTTTTTTTGTACATATAAATATGCATATATTATTAACGTCGAGAGAGTTTTACCATTTATTTACCATAAAATTATTTGTCTGAGACACAATATAAATAATGTATTATTATAATACACAGAAAACATCATTGTATTTATAATATATAAAGTGTAGTATAAATATAACATATCGTTCTTATATTCCATGCGCCGCTCCTTGTTAACGGCACAGCGCAAGTTGGTACGTCACGCGATATATTTACCTATATGTGTTTTAGAGGGGATACAATTGAACGTTCTGTCTTGTTGTTTGTCTTTTATTGGCTAGTATATCAAATATTCAGAGATATTTATAGTATTTTTATATTTTATACTGTTTAATATATAAATATTTGAAACTAATGTTAATATATAAATTATATATTAAATATCATTAGTGAAGTTATTATATGTATACATATTACATAATAATATTTTATTTATTTTTAAACCATGAATGGGACTGCGATGAGACAGAATTATGTTCTTTTAATTTGTTATGCATTGTCACGTGATGTTTATGTATTATTTTTTATTAGTGCACGTTAATAATAAGTATAGGGCTTTTTATAAATGTATATTTCTATACTTTTAAATATGGTGCTTAATTGGTATATATATATAAAAGATAAACGAACGCAATATATTTATGATGTGGGCATGCAAGTACATGATTTAATTTTTTTTTTATGAGTTACAAATATTTTGTATGAAGTTCTTTGAATCTCATCTGTGTTATATTGCTGGGTAAAGGGTTCTTCTTTCCAACTCCCAAACATCTCTATACTTTACTTTTATAACTCTATTTAATATGATAGTTCGTAACAAAAGGAAGAAACAGTTCAATATCTAATCTTTAAAATAGATTTGTAAGGAGATCTTAAGGTTTAGAATCGATGATAAAACATTAGTTCGTAGTCCCACCTTCAAACCTTTAGTAACCCTTAAAGTAATGTTAGGGTAAACCCCTAAGGTAATCTTAGGGCGAACCTCGACTTCAACCCCGAGAGAGAGTACTCGCGTATCACTTGTACCTATCTCCTCCGATTGATCCCGCGTCCAATTCAAACAGGGATTGAAATTACAACGGCCTGAGCCGAGGTTCGAACCAGCGGTGCCCCCAAACTAAAGTCTTATCGTCGAATACGACTTTACGAGGCAGGTTGGCCTTTAGCTGCTCTTCAAGTTCTACCGCGGTTTGGAGTGCCATCTGCACTCGCACCCTATCGCCGGTGACGCTGTAAAGGCCTGCTGTAGCGAACAGCATTGGAATAGTTCAGAAACTTTTAATAATCATATTGGCTATTGTTCTTCTTTGGTTGCTTATAATATAAAATAAGTTCGGTATTTGGTGTTTTTTTTTTTATGGTTGGGTTTCATATTTTAATAGGTGATAGTAATGTTTATTTGTGTTCTGTTTACAGAGGCGTTAGTGTGTTTGGGCTACAACCGACAAGAGATCGAGTATTCGCTCGCCGAGGCGAAGTATGACGACGTGTTCGCAACATATTTACTGCTCGGAAGGAAGAGTACTGATGTGAGTATTGGCTTATTTGTTTTCTAAGGTTTAGTTATGTATAAAGCAGCTCTTTTCAAACTACGACCTATCGCTTACCTTTATATAGTATAAAGTGAAGTCATTGCATTGTCTGTTCGTTTAGATCTTTTAAACTATGCGACGGTTTTTAATGCAGATTTTAACAATAGATTTTGTCATTCAAGAGGAAGGTTTACATGTATAAAACATGTAAATTCTTGCGAAGCCGGGGTATATATATAATGTGAATGAAATGAAATATGATGATGAAAATGTAGTATATATATATATATATATATATATATATATATATATATATATATATATATATAACTAGCTACTTACCCCGGTATATACATATGAGGGTTCGTAACGAGAGGAATGCAAGAGTGGGGTATATATATGGGGGTTTATAATGTGAGGAATACGTGAAGTATGATGAGCGGTAAGTGAGGTGTGAGGGTGCGTGTTGCAGCCCGAGTCGGACGGCAGCCGGTCGGGCTCGTCGCTGTCGCTGCGCACGGCCGTGCCCGCGCCCGCGCACCACGCGCCGCCCGCGCACGCAGGTAACGCACACACCGCACTACACCCGACACGACCTACACCACCTACACCACCTACACCACCTACACCACCTACACTCATTACACACGCAGCCGGTCGGGCTCGTCGCTGTCGCTGCGCACGGCCGTGCCCGCGCCCGCGCACCACGCGCCGCCCGCGCACGCAGGTAACGCACACACCGCACTACACCCGACACGACCTACACCACCTACACCACCTACACCACCTACACGACCTACACTCATTACACACGCAGCCGGTCGGGCTCGTCGCTGTCGCTGCGCATGCCCGCGCCCGCGCACCACGCGCCGCCCGCGCACGCAGGTAACGCACACACCGCACTACACCCGACACCACCTACACCACCTACACCACCTACACCACCTACACGACCTACACTCATTACACACGCAGCCGGTCGGGCTCGTCGCTGTCGCTGCGCACGGCCGTGCCCGCGCCCGCGCACCACGCGCCGCCCGCGCACGCAGGTAACGCACACACCGCACTACACCCGACACCACCTACACCACCTACACCACCTACACCATATATAGCCGGTCGGGCTCGTCGCTGTCGCTGCGCATGCCCGCGCCCGCGCACCACGCGCCGCCCGCGCACGCAGGTAACGCACACACCGCACTACACCCGACACGACCTACACCACCTACACCACCTACACCACCTACACGACCTACACTCATTACACACGCAGCCGGTCGGGCTCGTCGCTGTCGCTGCGCACGGCCGTGCCCGCGCCCGCGCACCACGCGCCGCCCGCGCACGCAGGTAACGCACACACCGCACTACACCCGACACGACCTACACCACCTACACCACCTACACCACCTACACGACCTACACTCATTACACACGCAGCCGGTCGGGCTCGTCGCTGTCGCTGCGCACGGCCGTGCCCGCGCCCGCGCACCACGCGCCGCCCGCGCACGCAGGTAACGCACACACCGCACTACACCCGACACCACCTACACCACCTACACCACCTACACCACCTACACGACCTACACTCATTACACACGCAGCCGGTCGGGCTCGTCGCTGTCGCTGCGCACGGCCGTGCCCGCGCCCGCGCACCACGCGCCGCCCGCGCACGCAGGTAACGCACACACCGCACTACACCCGACACCACCTACACCACCTACACCACCTACACCACCTACACGACCTACACTCATTACACACGCAGCCGGTCGGGCTCGTCGCTGTCGCTGCGCACGGCCGTGCCCGCGCCCGCGCACCACGCGCCGCCCGCGCACGCAGGTAACGCACACACCGCACTACACCCGACACCACCTACACCACCTACACCACCTACACCACCTACACGACCTACACTCATTACACACGCAGCCGGTCGGGCTCGTCGCTGTCGCTGCGCACGGCCGTGCCCGCGCCCGCGCACCACGCGCCGCCCGCGCACGCAGGTAACGCACACACCGCACTACACCCGACACCACCTACACCACCTACACCACCTACACCACCTACACGACCTACACTCATTACACACGCAGCCGGTCGGGCTCGTCGCTGTCGCTGCGCACGGCCGTGCCCGCGCCCGCGCACCACGCGCCGCCCGCGCACGCAGGTAACGCACACACCGCACTACACCCGACACCACCTACACCACCTACACCACCTACACCACCTACACCACCTACACTCATTACACACGCAGCCGGTCGGGCTCGTCGCTGTCGCTGCGCACGCAGGTAACGCGACCACACTACGCTACCCGACCTAAACTCGTTACACACGCATCCGGCGCCTGCCACCTACCGACCTATACACGGGCAGGCGAAACTCTCTTACACACACATTCCATACAGGTGAAATCTACAAAGTTCCGCATGTACAGACACGAGTCGTCGTACGAAAATCAAATACGATATATACTATACACTATAGACATACACGAACTACGTACTACTCACACATTTTTAATTAGAATTTTATGTCGTCCCTTTTACTCCTTCTTAATTGAACAAAGATGGCACTAATTGTAATTCTCTTAAATTTGTATATTGGCACAATCCGATATCGTTTATCCGATTACTCGACAGTAAAAGTTTTGGTAAAATTTGTAAAGCAAAGAATTTGAACAAAATAGAGAACGAAACTTGCGCACTCGACGGCACTGTTGCTGCGCAAGTCTCAGAATTATGATCAAGTTTCTTTGTTCATATCTATGTTACACTTCGCCCTGAATGATGATCATCTGAATGATGCTCCCAGTTAGTTGTTTATTGCACTTTTACTTGATTTTTTGCAAGTGAAACTTCAAGCCTTTATTGTTGTGACCGAGTTCTGAGGAAAATAGACCTTATGTTTATGCTATAAAGTTTATTTTCGTACCGCACGCATCAGAATTCGAGCACCCTTCCCTTCGACGATTTCAGTCTCATAAGGAATTTCGAGATATGTAATAATACGCGAACTGCCATAAATTTGAGTGAATGTACGAAACAATTCTTTTGCCTGTATTTCTTGGGGAATAAACTGTTGTAAGTAAGAATTTATAAAAAAGAAACAATAGAGCGCGTTTATACTTTTAACAGATGTTACTGCTAAATATAAATATGAAACTGCTAATCTTTATTTAGTTAGTTCGTTTAAACATGGCCGTAATCAGGGATGGGGGATCTTATAAATATTTTGTAATTTATCAATTTAATTAGTTTTTAAATAATCATTATTGTATATATAACAAATTTACGATATGCTTTAGAAAATGCTTAATGTACTAAAGCCGAGAGGGCTTGGGCCTATCTATTAAATTATTGCAGTGCTGTTGCGTTGATTTCTGACTACGCTAAAGAACTTGGCAATAATAAGTACGTGTTTTTTAAACAGTATAATATTCTTGGATCAATTTTTATATTACGTAGTTATTACCTTCAAGTTTAGCAGTTTTTCTGTATAAATCATAAATCATTGATAGGGTACTATCAAACATAACTGACACATCTTGCTTTTACGTAAAATGCCTGGACACTGGCAATGAAGTGGTCCAGAAGATACATTTTTTTGCTATTATAATATGGGGTTCGCTGAATTCACAGCTTCTAACTGGGTTAGCAGATCAGTGATCGCAGATTTAAATATCATACATATAATAAAAATACCATATAAATAATTAATTTTAAAGAAACTAATGTGTGCAAAAATTAAAAATAACCTTGTGTTTTTACGAATACTTATAACAAAAATGTTTTTAAATTTTGTGTCTGTTGCTGTGCGTTTATGCAAGCTAATCTCAGAAATCTATTAACCGATTTACATACGGATTTTGCTGATCTTGTAAAATATTACGATTGGCGTAATATTTCGTGTTTGTTTCATAATAATTAAATATGAAACACAAGTTAAGACGATTTATAAAAATACGGGCTAGTGACGCGCAATAAAACTCAGGCACAGCTAGTAAATATTTATTTTTAATCTAATAGACTTCTTGACTAGTTTTCTTCTGTGTGTTATTGCAAAATCCGGTCACTGATCAATCATACTCATAATATGATCATCCTTATGTGATACTGTCGGTTATGCCATCCGTTTAGAAGTTACTTTCTTATATCGCTTTATATCTTTACTGTGTTTATGTGTGCTTGACGTGTCGTATACCGATCACATGGAGTAGGTGTTCATGTACTAACTAAAAAATTAGAAACGAAACACGTGGGGCATACCGGAGAGGTAAAGGTTCGATGAGTGGGCCGCGTGAGATGCGATGTCGGGGCGAGTAGGGGACCGGCAGGTCAGTGGGGGGCGAGGAATGAGGAGCGAGGAGCGAGGATTGTGGGGATGTGATCGGTGTACACGGGAGGCTGCCGCAGGGTGCGGGGGCTCGCCGTCTCACCGCGGGGTGCAGCGCAGCATCTCCGCCTCCGCGCGCCCCGCCGCCTCCCGCCGCGCCTCCTCCGGCGCTGAGGTGCTGCGGACCCAAGGTACCCCCCACACCCCCACACGAGACAGCCGCCACCCCCCTGCAACCACCCTATCACTCTAATTTAGACCCTATAGTCTGTTCTTTAAACTCGGAGACTAATTTGACATTATCTATTTTGCCAACTTTTTGCACTTTTTAAGTTTGTGGTCCTGACGGTAATTAGAATAGAAGAAAAAGGAGTATAGCTTTGAAACTAATATTTTAAAATAAATAGTTACGATTAAACAAATCGTTATCGCAGGTACGGCACTATTCCACTGCAGCTGGAAACATTTTACATTTACAATTGTCAATTTAGTCTCCGAGATTAAAAAATAGACTGTAACTACATGCGTACGGTTAACACTGAACTGCATTAAATTAAAATATATATATTAAATCGATTTTTCAGAATTTCTTTGAATCAATCGGTTCATTATTAACCGCACGTGTTTAATTAATAGTAGTAATTTCTGTGTAGTAATACACTGAGAAGTAAAAATCGATGATTGTGATATTACTTCATGTATTACATCTTACATAGAGTAATATCGAAATTACTGTTAATTTAAATTTATTGCTTGTTATTTTTGTAAGTATTCTATATTTGAGTAGATTTTTTATGCATATATAGGGTAATGGTATGTTTGTGTGAACTTATTTCCATGTAAGTAATTCATTAATGTTGGTGAATGAATATTGTTATGCTGTAATATAATTTTGTTACTAATTGCATATGTATCATATTGTTCACAGCGTTACTATGACACATCGCTTTTGGATACATATTAGATCTATTAACTATCTTACTAACTCAATTAATAACGATCATAAACTATTCTCATAAAGTTGTAACTTTATATCTATTTTAAATAAATAATACTATGATTAAAGTTAAATTTAACGAAATTGACAGTTGATATAATACTACTTCATTAAATGTGAATTTTCACTTTATTGTTGTTATTAATCAGAATTTAAGAAACTTTAGAGGGATAGTTCTTGATTAAACTCCACAATAACACAAGTCATTGCCCCCGGTTTTCAATGGACATTAGATTATCATAGATCATTTATATTATTGAAATCGTTAAAAAAAGTAATTCTTGAACAGTAGTTTTACATAAAGTATTGCACGCACTCTCTAACAAATAATACCTAATAAAGTTAAATATGATTATTGAGTTATGAGCCCAAAAAAAGGTATTTTTCATTCTGATATCAAGTTGGTGTAAGGGCAGATATAAATGAATATTTTTATGTAAATTGCATGACTAACAGAAACAATGTCGTGCATATACGTCCGGGAATGATATTATAAAAAAAATAATATAACATTTATTGGCAAAAATAGTTAGCGGTTTTCGGACTAAATTTTAGAAATTATCTTGGTCGAAGGTCAGTAGAAGCATTTTGAAGACCCCCACCTCTGAGTACGACCCTGTATTACCTTAAATAAAAGAACATTTTTTTTCACAACTTTAAATTATTGTACGTATTAACAGTGAGTGTTTAATTGGATTTTATACTTAGTATAATAATAATTAAAATTGTTAATTTTAATTATAAAATTATTAATTTAATTTGTTTATTAGAATTATAAAATTTTATAATTAAAGTTAACAATTTTAATTATTATTATAACCACCCGAGTTTCAAGGTTTTCAACAAGTGTAAAATCCAAATGTCCATCCAAATTGTTAATTAATAAGTCAGAAGTATTGTCAACTGTTGACATTGTGGCGAAAGTACGACTTGATAATCCCAGATTTCGATAGATATATTGGAATCCAAAGCAGCATAGGGTAAGCCTACCGTTATTTCATGTTAATTAAATTTTGTATTGTTGGTTCCACCGGATAATCAGTTATAGAAAATAAATATTTTCTATCAAAATTGACTGTTTTTTGTTATCTGTTGTTATTTTTTGTAAATTTGTTATCTGTGTACAAATAGTTGTTGTTTTATAAATATAATTTATACCACCAATACCAGGGACGTACTCGGAATAATTGTTGGGGTAATATGACCCCTATAGACATTGCACGCGCCATGTGTAACTACGAACTGTTCGTGACTAATACAGTGTGGCGAGCGTCGACGCGTGTTGTAATAAGTGTTTTGTGTTGCAGTTGGCACCACAACGACTGCTGCCAACAACACCACTGCTACTTCCACTACGACTACGTCAAATTTCAAAAGACAGGTATGTTTTTTAAAGAATGCGATCTGAGTTAATATGAAAAAAAAATATTGTCCCCAAAAATGGCACTACGTTGAGCAAGTCACCCGGAGGTTGTTGCCCCCGGAATTGTTGCCGGGGCTAAGTGGTTCGCCCTTAACCCCAAACTTTACCTCCTTAGGGTGATGTCAATAACCAGACAGTCAGTTTTTTCCTGGGTTAGCTGTATACGAATGAAGTAGATAGATAAAATTTTTGTGTGTCATTTAACCCCGTCCGCGGCTTGCTGTGGCCAGTCGGTACAACACAGTATAAATTAAAAATATTGTTTATATCAGTTTAAAAATAGAAGTATATTATTAATATCGCTTTTGTAATGAATGTTTATGTAAAAAACGTAAATTAAAAGGAAGTACCATTTCATTTTATATTGGAAAATCTCTAGGGTACTGACGTGGGGGTAATTGGGAAGGGGTCCCCTTGGGAGTGATCACAGGTTAACTTGGCAGGTTATACAAATTCTATAAATATCTAACATATAAAATTTATCGTTTTTAAATAAATGATGAGGGTATATATATTCTTTATGCCATAATCTCACACACGCCAGTTATTTGATAACTATAAAGTTTATATGCTAGATAATCTGTAGATTTATAAGTCGCACATGAATTAAATCCCAGGATTTAACCAGCTAATTCATCTAAGCTGTGAATATCAAATCATGTAGGACATTTTAGCCACTTATGAAAGTCAATTTTTTTGTATTGAAATTATTTGTCCTATCGTAACATATAGCATATTTTAGTATATATTATAATAAGCGTTAAGTGACGTTTTAGATTTTATAGTTTAAAGTAAAATTGCATCGTTTCCAGAACACAATCGACTCCGCGTCAATTAAGGAGAATACGGCGCGAATTGCTCAGATGCAGGTTTGTTATGCTATATATATATTAACTAACGGTGCAGTTAGCTGTACGCCAATTTTATCTTCATGTTTCTATAAAGTTACATTTATGTATTTTTTCATAGGTTTATTGTAGATATTAGAACAATTATTTATGTTACTTACTATATTTCACACGGGTTATTATTATTTTTTTTATTAAATATTTGTTTTTTGACTATTAAGTTAAATACCTGGATATGTTTTTATGACGTATTTCAGCCGGTGAAGTAATTTTACTGTTTCGATTTAAATAGTGAGATTTATCAGTGAAATTATAAAGTAGGAGACGATAGGGGGAATTGCGGATGATTGTTAGTCCGAGTTTACCCCGCGTCCGTAATTCCCCTACGGAGTTCGTTAGTAATGGAAATGTATGAGGGTTTTAATGGGAATTCACGTCCACGGTCCTATTCATGTCGTAGGCGAAGTGACAGTTGTCACATAACATCAGGTGATGTGTTTAAGTGCACGTGTCCTCGTTTCGAGTACTAGGAGCGGTGAAAGTGCAATTTATGCTCTTCTCCTTGTCTCGAGTGGTTTCTTGGTCTCATCTGGTGACAATTTCAGGTACAAAGCGGCCAGACGCGGCCGACGAGCGCGCAACCGAAGCTGGAGCCGCGGTCACGTACACTCACCGGCGGCCCGCGGAGACTCACGCAGGACGCCGCCCCCGCCGCCCCCGCCGCCCCCGCACACGACGCGCCCAGGTACACCCGCCCACAGCTACACCCGGCCACACTCACTCGCGCAGGACGCCGCCCCCGCCGCCCCCGCACACGACGCGCCCAGGTACACCCGCGTCTGATGTTACCCCCACGTGTTCATCTGTCCCCGCAATACAGCTCTCTCGGCGTCCGAAGTTACCCCGCGTTTGCGACTCTCCCAGCGTCGGCAGATCTCATGCGTCTGCAGTTACCCCCGTATCTGCAGCTCTCCCAGAGTCGGCAGCTTCCTCCGTTTATACTGTTACCCCCACGTCTGCAGTTCTACCAGCGTCTATAGATCCCTCCGCATGCTGCAATAGAACTCGCTCACACTACAAGTACCCGTACGTATGCAGGTATCGCTTACGAGTCCAACATAATTGTCGCAGTGACTTCCATCTGTCTACATAAAGTGTCAGTAAGTATATCATTCAATTGGACGATCAATACAAATTCTTGAGGACTGACTATAGTAACGAAGCAACAATGTCTACAAGCAGTCAGGTAACGTATTGTTGTTTTATATATAGAAATTAATCTACATCCAGAACTACAATATTTAGTAGGATAGTTTTTTTTATGGATGAATATTTACTGGTGCACCAACCTGTGCTAACAGTATACGCTAGACTAGCACCAGTAGAAAATGTTAGAATGAGTATGAAATATGAAGGTCCGCGTGTTGATCAACCTGATATAAAATTGTGTCATTAGTCTTCATTACCCCCAGTGGGGTAACTACAGGTATTGTTAAAAATAATTGTGGTGAACTGAACACTTCATATTTCACAGTGTATATGTGAATACAACGTTGAAATAGGCGAACCCATCGCCGTCTCTCTGATTAATTTTGAAGTTTATCTACAGTCGGCTCTATTATGCATCTTTATAATTCATAATGATTATTTTGCAGTGGTTACCAATTTTATAGTATATATTTCGATTTCGAGGCGTATTTAATATTTAGAAACTATTTAATATGGTATACTTATGAATTTATTAATGTCCTATGTAACAGTATATACTATGTTACTTCCAATTAACCAAGTCAATATCGAGACGGGCGACCGACACGTGCCAGTGATCGAATAAACTAACCGCATGCAATATTACACGCTACCGGAACAGCGCGGTGCAAGAGAATAAGAACGGAACGGCGGCGAGCAACGGTAGCTCGGGCGCGGGTAAGACGCACGTCAAAAGCGCCTCCGTGTCGTCCGCCAGCGGAGCCCCGGCCCTCGCCGGGGACGCGCCCCACGCCTCCGCCCGCGACCTCGCCACGCGCCCGAGGTAGCCCCCAGAATAGTCTGTCTCCATTATAGCCTACTAGCCTCAACACGCAAGCTATCTCAGAACGCACTTATGTATATTGTAGCCGGAAGAATCGACTTGAAGACGTTTTGCATTTGTAGTAGTCTTCTTTCATGTTAACGGTAAACCTAAATATGTTTAGACCAGAACTTAACGTTGCAGAATCTTAGATGGATAGACTGCTAAAGATGAGATGGTAAGACAGTAAATAACTAGACGACTGCACAGGGATGGAAGAGAAAAACGCCGACCCCAAATAAATGCGATAAATAAAAAGATTATTTAAATTATTAACCGGGTCTTAACACGAATAATTTTATGGCAAATAAAGGTATTTACCTCTCTCGACGTTTCGACTAGGTTGCACTAATCGTGGTCACGAGCTGACTGAAAAAGATGTTGATGATGTGTGACTATCTCACACTACTACAGATGCAATCTCGTCTTCAAGCAGATTTACCTGTACATTAACGTATCTAGAGACGGTTTATACATAACTTGGCCATTCAATTTTCTTTTTTTCAAAGTGATATATGTAAAAAACAAGAACATGCATTGCTTTTTTAAGAACGATGGCTTTATAGATATAAACGATTTTAAATTTTAAACATAAGTTCATAAGGAAGTAAATATTAGTTCCTTATTATTTGACGGTAGCTTATTTAAGTTTAGAAAATGAACTTTTGTTAAAAATATGCCATCACTATTTTATTAAAAAAATATACTAATACTTTTGTCTATTAATAAAAATATTAATAATTTCCTGAATATTGTTTATCCCATAATCGCTCTTGCGATAACAAAAACATTGTATATATTATATATTATATATATGTATATATTGTGCTACATACACAATTTATAACATACATTTTTAATGCATTTCCAAAAGAGAATTAAATGGCTTTTTACTTAAATTATTATTAAATCGAATATTTGTAGAGAATCTCGAAAAGTATTCTGGCTATATGGAGCAGAACTAGATATATGTGAAAATTGGCTTCAATTGATTATGGACGAGGCAAAAATCTAGTTTGTTGCTGGTATATTTTGATTCAATAGCAACGTATGGGCTGCCACACTCTGCACGCTGTTTATTTATTTCCGCTTACCGCTTTAACGGTAATTTACCGGTAATATAATCGGTATTAACCGGTAAAGTTTTTAGCACTCACGCTACTCAACGGTCAAGCTTATTTCGTTTGTTTTTATCTTCTAATTAGAATAAAACTATAGATTTGTAGATTATCTCCTATGGCATATAGTAAAAATAAAAAATGTATTATAGTTTTTTAACAGTAGTTGAGCTTACGGAGTTTTCTTTTTAGAACGTGTGATATTTTTGTCTACTCTAACATTTTTTTATTCTGTGGATTTGACTTTATAGCTTTAATTTATTCACTTTCGGTATTTTCGCACTTTAGCTTTGCCTTAGATAGATCTTTGGTCGCTTTGCAGAAGGAATTGGATGTGTTGAGTAATGAAAAATTTTAACCACATGTATTATTATGTATGTATTTTAATTTATTCAGACACCAATACAATATATCTAAAAATGTATACGAAAAAAAAAATCAATCATATGTAGTTACTTGTAGTTTGTTTTTCTATCTTCTTTATTAGTAATATAGAAGTATGGTAAAGTATGGTAGAAAATTTTGTTATAGTGTTGTAGCTAAAATTGTATATTTTATTCTAATTATAATTGTTGTATTTGTATATATTTTATTTAAATTTAGAATACACATTCTAAAATTTTAATCTGTAAATCAACAAACATCCTATACACATCATTGGATGTAAGCAATTAAAGATTGTATGTAGTTGACATAAGGTATATATTTCAGTTTAAACTCTACGGGCGGTACGACAGCGGCTGCGAGCGGCGCCCGCCGTGACTTCCCTAACCCGATGGTGTTCCCCAGGAATGTGCCATCCAGGTCCACCTTCCACTCAGGTAAGTCAATCTTTATGATGTCACATGCATTTCAAGATATATAAATCTCAAGTATACGCCTTTCCTGATAATAAAATGTTTAAATATGGTTCTTAAGGTGATAGAGCATCCTATTTTACGTGTAAAACTCAAATACACATTTTAAAATATCGAAGCTAACAGCCGAAAATCAAGAAGATTTTGTAAAAAACAATTAAATTCAAATATCTCGAAAACAGTCAGATTTAGGATTGGGTGTCTCATAGTGAAATCTGTCAGAAATTATGTAAACTATACGCCCTTAACAGGAATAGGTTGACTTAACCAGTAACCCTGTATATTGGAATGCTGTATTCATTACGGTATAATAATAATAACGGTATTATCAATATGACTAGATATATTGATTTAATTTTTTTTTTGTAAATATCATATTATATATTTGTTTAATACAAATGTTTGTTTCAAACAAGCTATTAGACCGCTAGACCACCGAGGTCGTCGATAATCAATATGACATTTGTTTAAGTAAATATCATTTGTTTAATAAAATTTCAAACAAGCTATTAGCCCCCCTGATCGTAAGTAGTTAAGTGGCTGCTAACGCCTATAGACATCATTTTATCATACATATGCCACCTGTGATACTCATGTGTTGTCATTCCGGTGGATTATTATATTATTTTTCCGTACCATGTGATTTGTTATATCTCTACACCTCAGCCGTGAACGGAAATATAGCTAACAATGCAAACAGCTTGGCTGTAGAAATAGGTGAGACAGAGGTAATGGCAGATAACTTTATACAGTCTACTTCAGATCTATATTATTCGGGAGATGCCCTTTTATGGCATCAGCTGAGGGATTTTTGATATTTTAAATATATTAGACATGGAAATATATAGACTACTTGAACGCTATGTTATTTTTTTTTTTTTATAAAAATTTACCAGTTGAGTTCTTCGATTAAACGGTACGGATAGTGATAAAGAAATACTATATAAGAGGCCGAAAGGTCCCATAAAAATGATGCTGTGGACGATAAGAAGGTGCAGTTCCCAATATATATATATATATATATATATATATATATATATATTACAACGATACAGTCCTCTTATTAAAGAACCCGTTAAGCTACACAATAAATATTTTGTTATTTTTATTTTATTTGCTAGTATGAATGGATATATAATATTTCCAGGTCAAACGCGGTCGCGTGGTGCGAGTGCGGGCGGAGCGTACGGCGACGGAGGCTCGCCTCATCAGGCGCGGCCGTCGTTCTTCTCCAAGCTGTCGTCCAGATTCTCCAAACGGTAAGTTTATCACTCGCCACCGGTTCATTAATGTACACGGTTCAGGGAATTTGAACTTATTGTGACTTATGTGTCAAGTGTAACATTGTATATATTTATTGTAACATTGTATAGATTTACTGTAACGTTGTATATATTTGTTGTAACTTTGAAAGTTTTGTTGTTATTAAAAATGGGTCATCTATTTATTAATCTCATAACACTAAACTAAATGTTAATATACACTCGTAAATATATTTGAGTTAATTTTGTAGGAATACTTGAAATAAGTTGAGTATTTCTAATGGTTTCCTTGCCGTATATATATAGATATCTTGCAAAGTACTGGAGGTAAATGGCAAAGATACATGCAATTTTTTACAAGAACAAATAAATAATTAACGTCAACTGTATATTTGTAAGAAGGAAATAAATTCCAAATAAGATAATTACTCACAAATATAAATATCAAATATTAATTGATTTAGTAGCGTAATTAAATAAATTTATTTAATATTACAACAAAAATGTGTGTTACGATACGTTATAAATGAAATGTTACAATGTTACACAGTAATATACCTTTAACATATTTACAATCATACGTGACTAACCTATACATAAACTATGCATAATTTCAGTATTAACATCAATTCATATGACTTAACAAATAGAATATATATCTTTTTATATTTTCGTTGATTCCCATAAGCTGCGACGCTTTATGCTCTACTGCTAGTTGTAACATACTCATTTCAAAAGGCTTCTTGTGTAGAAAAGTATTATTAACAATATATATTTTTATTGAACTGTAAAAATATATAAAAATCTGTTTGAAAAACTAAATCTATATATTAGTGATTGTTTTATAGAGTAATAAAATATATTAAATTTCTTGGAATGTCACAAAAAGCCATTTGTACATAATTAAAATTGGAATATTATATCTAGTTCAGAATATCATTTCACTGCTATGCATCAATGTTAGCAGCTCACAGCTTGCCATGCACCTCTATGTCTCATATCCCACTGATACTACACAGTAAAATCTAAGTATAAACAATTCAATGGCAGTTAATTTTAGTGCCCAATGTCTGTCTCTAAATATTTTGTTACAATTGTCTAAAAAGGGTTGTGGAAAAAGACTCGTTGAAAATATTTCTTTATATATTTTATGAACAGTAATAAAGCTCCTATTGACTTTTTCTTAAATAAAATATTTATCATAATTTCCTCTTAGAAAAACACGGTTTTTGTCGAAAGCAAAATTACGGAAGTATATACATTTTTTTATCTTTTCTATTAAAACTTCTGACTGATAATGTATCGTATTTTGTAAGGTATACAGTATACATTCATAATGTCAAAAGGAGCTTGTGATTTGTTCACGATATGATCTCTTTATGTAAATAATATCAACACCATTCGTAACACACTGTTTTTAACTTATCACTTGATTAACCCATTCGTTCTGTCTCTCGTCTTGTTGATCTCATTACTATATGTGTTTATTTTCACTTTATCGAATGATGCTAAAATTGTCTCCCTCGACAAACTTCCGAGCTCCGTTTTATTTTTTTCTTTTTTATTCTCGCGTCAATACAGGGGATGCACGATGCTAAAACCTCCCTATACTCCTATTTAGTAGACATATACGTTCGCACACATCGATTTTTATTAATATATCGCTACCTAATGCTGCCGCGCGTTATTCAGTTTTAAATACAAGGGTATATATCAAGATAATCAAAACAAAAAAAGCGGTAAATAAGTATGTTAATCGCTTTTCACCGGTTTTGCGGTATAGTCTGTTATTGTTTTGAAATCCTGACGTCACTATCCGAATACTACCGTTCGACCGTCTTAGTAGACACAATAGTAGACAAGCATGATGTATTCCCCTACCTGTGCGTATGAAAATGCTATTTTTTTATTTTGCTAAATGACAGTGTCAGCTATGGCAATACTTTTACGCTTTGAGTGTTGTCTGTAGTGCTTTATTAACGACTAGTACAATGTATTTCACGGTTTTTACCTCGTCCAGCTGAGAGGTGTACGGATTTTTATTTTACAACATCTCTCGTGCATCCCCCGTGTTACGATACCATTTATTTTTACATTCCTATAACCGTACGCTTCTACTAACGAATGTCGACGGTCGCGACACCTACAGTTCGTGCTTAGTACCAATTTCACTGCGTAGTCTATCCACAACCCTTTAAGTGAAGTTAACAACGTGACGGTATAAAAAAACGGAGGGAGTTAGTGTATAGTATTGTGCATCTGTGTTGCGGCGCGAGAAATATTTAGGGTTGCCGTATTTAAATATTTTTATATAAATTTTGACGGAATCTGGGAATCCTTAAGGCTCTGTCATGACGTATTAATGATTTTAATTCGAGTTATATTTATCGTACGTATAAAGAAACACTAAAACTGTTTTACATTATATTCAATGCCATTATGGTATAGCAATATAAGTTGTAAATCCTTTCGTTAAACGTATGGCAACCCTACAAGTGAAAGTCAAGATAATAAGAGCCGGAGAGAGAAGAGGGCGGCGATTCGGCTCACATACAGTCGTCTCGCTCACCCGTTCCGTTGTACGCAGGTTGAATCAGAATCCGTGAGCAGCGCCGTCCTACAAGCCGACGACGAAGTCTTAGTGTAATGGAACGACGCGTGACATTTTCTGTTCATTTGTCAACGTTCAATATTTTTATGAGTCCGGCTGTGGTGTAACCACAATTAGTTTTACAAGTAATATATCGAAATTCTTCCATTGATATCGTAATGCAAAATATGTCTGTGTGTATATAGTAACATGCAGTATTAGTATTTAATATATTTAGTTAACATATAATATTTTTTTATATGCACTTGTAGCCAAGGATGTCAGCATTAATAGTAAGTGAACAGAGAATGTTGCTGCGTTCCTCTGAAAGTATTAACATTGTGTATCTTTTTTGTATCCAGAAGTCACTCAAACGTCCAACTGTTAACCTTGCAAAGTTACACAATGAATACTGACTAGGTTAGAAATGTTGTTGTAAGTGTTAAGAGTTTCATTTGGTATATAATTATTAGACGGAAGTCCATCTTGACTAACATTTGGTTGAAGTAACATCTCGTACTGAAATCGTAATTAAAATGTCGCGAGTCGCGACGATAACTGTTTACATGTTATTTTATTGGAATATAATTGTTTAATACACGCATAGAGTACAAATAATATATATATTTTACAAATGTTACATTTTACATAATTTAATGTTACAATATTACAAGTTACGTTACAACGTACGTTGGCAGTTACGAATCGTACAACTCGAATTGTAACTTTTAAATGGTGCATATATAATCAAGAAGTTATTTCAATCTGTTTGATATAATAATTAATAACTATTTTATATAATTATATTATGTTAAGCTACAGAAAGTTAGAACAAGTGCCAACCGATTTCATATTACGTTTAAGGGTTCTAAGAATTATTCTTTATATTGAACAGGTTTTAGGATCAATGAGCCAGTGGATATGATTCGATTATTTATGGAACGTAATTAATATTATTAATTATACTATTGAATATAAATGGACGTATACAGGGGAAGGGAGCCAGGAGAGGACATGCCCTGAAAATTGTAAGCGTTTCAATATATTATGCCCTGCAGTTTTGTAAAAACAACATCCCGGCTTCGAAAACTTACTTGCCCCGTGCACTCTTCCCTCTCTGGGTCCTGAGTCAGAAGTCAGTAATGAATACATAACCATGTTATAGCAAATTATATTTTGTTTATTAATTATTAAAAAAATACATTCAACACCAAAAATGTCAATGATTTTAAATTATTTCCCATGAAATAACATGTAGCAAGCAACTAGTCACGCTGCGAAATGCATTTCACCTTAGCTATTAAGGAATAAATCGAGTTGTAATTTCATACGAATTTTCTACATTCCAGGGTTCTGTACACATTGATTTATTTTCACAAAAAAAAGCACAAAGCTCTGTTGACAATATTATGTTTGTTTGTTATTTGGACTCCGCATGGAAAATGTTAAAACGACGACTGAAAAAAATATTTTGTATATTTGTATTATTATACACGCTATATTTAGATTTTTCTGTAACATTATCTCGTTGTTGGGTGTTAATTGTGGACCATTTTGTATATTATATATATTTGTATCGACCTATCGATATATTTATATACTTCTATCTACCGGTGTTATATTTAAAGATCCAAATGCCTTCTTCCTAGTGTGCATCTACAATATTTTCCTAGATAAATTCTACATGACATGGAAACATGGAAATGGTCCACGAATTTGCAATTATATTATATAAGGCGTGAGTGAGATATCAGTATGTATAATATAATAATTGTTAGAGTATAAGCTCCGGCCAATCCTAATAGCCTGGTACAAATACTCAGTAGATGTTACCATAGTGAACGAGTTTAGGCAGCTGTTTCCGCGTTACACTGTGACACACTAATATTAAGAGCCAATATTACTGTTATACAAACTTACAGGTTTGTCCTATATGGTATAACAAACAACAAAAATCAGGTACTTTACATTATATTTGTCGATTAATCAACGTTCACCAAGAAAATTAGAAAAAAATAGAATTTTGTATTTTTAGTACTAAATTAATCACCTGACCGCAAATTTTGTATTGAGGTATTAAAATTAAATTTGAATTTCCACTGCTTCTTTGAGAATGTTGTTCAGCTTGATGTATGCTGTCATTAGTTTTTGGTTTGTTGTACCATTTTCGACTAACCTTGTGGGTAGTGTTCAATATACAAATATACTCTATATATTTGTTACAAAAATACACGCTCTTAGTAAAGTTACAAAAATTCCTCTCGGCACGGCTCATCAGATTAAGTACTAATTGGTTTTAATCTAATTGTATTTGAATATTTGATAACTTCTAAATGTTTTTCATTAATTATAATAGATTAATTCAGTATACAGTTTAAAATAATTTTATTATTATAGTGAATTTAAA